TCTGTCTTTTTTAAACAAATACTTTCATGATAACTGCTCCAATGAGTTGATTTCGCTGGTTCCCAGACTTCATGAATTTAAGCGTTCAGCTAGGCTGGCATCTCACTCACACCCTTTCACTGTCGAAATTGTTAAATGTAGCCGTCTCTTCTACTCCAATAGCTTCATGTCTCGCACTTCTCGCCTGTGGAACTCCCTCCACTTTTCCTGTTTCCCTGATAGCTATAATCTCCAACTATTCAAATGTAATGTGAATTGACGTCTCCAGTTGCCTTGATCTATCCCCTATCCTTCTCTTCATCCTTTCCTCTATCACTCCTATTTGCTCTAGCTCCAACTCTCTGCAACCCCCTTGCATGCTAGTGGATTCCTGCTTTGCTTGGCGTGAAACGCTTAAATATATATATATATATATATATATATATATATATATATATATATAGATAGATAGATAGATAGATAGAATATAAAAGTGGACATTGAGGTCAATACCCAGCGGAGGCAGTCTGTTACAAGGTTAAACGCAATATTCAGACCTGAAAAATGTACTTAAGCATGAAACTAACCGTCTCAATGTCCATTATATATTTTATATTTACATACACTCTATCCCTGATATTGAGCACTTTAACCCATAAATATAGCATGCCATAAAGCTATACTTTTATTATATATATATATATATATATATATGAAAGATTTCTGTAGAAAAAGACAATATTTATAAATGTAAAAGATAATAGGAAAACTGTAATATTAGCCGACGCGTTTCGTCCAACGTGGACTTTTTCAAGGCAAAAAATGAAATGAATTTATTAAAACGAAGTAACTAACAAAACAGAATGTCCTTAACAACTGGAACAATTTAGAAAACGCTATTATATTCATATTGTCAACTAAAAATTACGTCAAATACTGTCACGTGTGGAAATTTTGTTTCTGTTGCTGTGTTGACGGATTCAACCATTTTCTTTTGATGTCTTGATACTGTTGTGTGCGTTTGTTTGGGAGAGTAATAATTCTGTGATGAAAGGTGAAATAGGGAAAAAAGTCCGGAAAAGATTAATATAATCCAAATATTAAATCTACGCCCAGAATCTACGTTATTATCAGGATTATGTAAATCGACCATACTGAAATCCGAACTCGGGTCTCTTGGTCGGACTTCTAGCTTTCTAAACACCTTGACACGCGCGTATCTAGCTAATTGTACAGGAGTTATAATTCAGGTTCACGAGATTTTTTAAAAATCATTTCATTCTCAGCAAGACGATAATCCCATTAAGATGCAAGGGGTTACTGAGAGTGAAAGGAAATCCTTTAGTGAGGAGAATGAATTATAAAGAAACACGATCCAGGAAGGCAGGAGATGGCGATTGACGTTGCATTTATATTTTTGAAGATTAGGAGAAACAGGAAAAAGACAAAATTGTGGAGAGCTATGATCAGCCATGTGATTTTGGAACACAGCCCATCGTGGAAGAAGAAGAAGAAGATGAAGAAGAAGAAGAAGAAGATAAAGAAGAAGAAGAAGGAGAAGAAGAAGAAGAAAATACCATAGCAAGAAACCTGAAGAGAGTTCCACAGGTGAGAAGTGCGAAAGTGAGAGATAATAAACTATTAAAATAGAGCCTACGGTTAGATCTAACTATTTTTGTTTTTATTAAGATTTTCTTTTCTGATGACTACTAAGAAGATCCAGAAGCTAAGCAAAGTATTAAGAAACAGGAAAAATTTCGTTAGAAACAAAGAAAAGAGGACTGAACTTTTCTCAATATCAACCCTTTACAGATGAAGAAAAAAACTTGAGGTAATAAAAATGTGGTTCTACAGAAGGATGCTGAGAATACGATAGTCTGAAAGTTCTGAACAAGGACGAAGTTTTAGAGACAACCAAATCAACAAGGACACTTAATATCGCAAAGAGACAGCTAAATTTTCTTGGAAAGTTTAACCATCACAGGACATATTGAGGGCAAGAGAGACAGAGGAAAGCAGCGAATAACTTACCTATTTTTATAGATTATGCAAAAGTGATTGATAAAATATGTCACAAAGAAATGTTTGAACTGCTAGGTAACATTGACATATTTGGAAGGACATTAGAATAATCCAGAACCTATAGTGACTGTATACGGGTAGAAAATAAATCCAGTAAATATGCAAAGAAATGAGGGTGTAAGACAAGGATGTGTCTTCTCGCCGGATTTATTCAACCTATGCAGCGAGGCGATTCTGATCGAATTAGAAGCCCTATCAGGATTCATTATTATAAGATATGCAGTGTTGATAGAAGAAACAAAACGGAAACTACACAAAATAGTGAATGAAAGCAAGAAGAATAGTCTAAACATCAATTGCAAGAAGACATAATGAAGCAGCTGAATTTTCTTGGAAAATTTGATCATCACAGGATATGTTGAGGGCAAGAGAGACAGAGTAAAGCAGCGAATAACTTACCTAACGAGCCTGTGTCAGTGGATGGCAGAATAGGTATATATACAGACAACAGAAAGACAAAATATACTCAGAGCTACGTGGGACGGGAAATTGTGGAGAGTTGTGATCTCCAACGTCCTGTGTACGGTACATAGATGAAGATAACATATCTACATACTTTCAAGGTTTGTGTGAATATCCTGAACGATTATTAGTCTGAATAGTTTATTCATTTGGTAAGCGGCTACAGAGAGTGGGTAGCAGTTTTAAATCCATGTCTATT